CAGCCGCGTCATCCCCCGCGGGGCTGCTGGCCGGCCTGCCCCGCTTCGGCAGCCTCAGCCCGCCGCCGCCGCCGCCCGGGCTCTACTTCAGCCCCAGCGCCGCGGCCGTGGCCGCTGTGGGCCGCTATCCCAAGCCGCTGGCAGAGTTGCCCGGCCGGACGCCCATCTTCTGGCCTGGCGTGATGCAGAGCCCGCCCTGGAGGGACGCGCGGCTGGCCTGCACCCCGCGTGAGTACCGCCGTGCCCCGCGCGCCCTGGGTCCCCAGGCTGGCAGCGCAGGCCCTAGTTCGCGGTTCAGGCCGGGCGGGCGCGTCGGCGAGGATCTTCATGTGCCGCACTCCGCCAGACCTGGCACGTCTGGGCCGAGTCTGGTGTGCGCGAGCGGGGGCAGGACGCGTAGGACGCGCAGCTCCGCGGAGGCCCTCCTGCTTTGGGATTACTCAGCTGACCCGGCTTAGGTTAGAGAGATGGGAAGTTGGAGAGGACTGCACCACCCTGGGGATCCTCGCTTTTCGGGCCCCTCGGCGCCCTGGCCAGATCCACTCACTGCCACTCTGCAAAACGAAAACGGGGTCGGTCTGGTGCCGGTATTTACATGCAAGTGTCCGTTCTGGACACCCCACCTTACCTTTTTCACCCTCGTGCCACCCACCCCAGGACACCCGGGCGTCGGGGGAGCCAGTGGCACCCGGACCGCTCTTTCCACCTCCTCCACCATAGCCAGGCTCAGGACCCTGAGTATGCGCACAGCAGGGCCACAGTGGCGCTCCACACCCCCACGCTAGGAAGAGCCAGGGGAAGAGCAGGCGAAAGGACCCGGACTGAGAAAAATGTGCCAGCCATCCCGTCACGACCTTGCCCGGACTTTAGAGACTCCCTAACATCTTGCTGATTTTCGAGAAGTGGCCAAGGCGCTAGCTACCAAGGTTCCCAGCCTTCCAGGTGGAGCTGGGATCCATCCTGTGGCCCTTTTCTCACACTCAGCTTTGATTTCGATCGACTCCCTAAAGTTTGCCCAAGTCTCTGGCTCTTTTAGGAGGGGGTGGTAGCTAAGCAGCTACAGAAGTAGCTGAAGAAGAGCGGAGGCTCCCTGGGGACACAGCGGCGGGGTGTCGGGGAGACGCTATTGTATCCGCGCTGGTGGCAGCGCAGGGGCCGCCAACAAAGGCTACGCTCCCGCCTCCTCCCGCTCAGCGCAGCGGCAATAGACTTGAGGCGATTTACCTCGCGGTAAGTGAAAACAAGGAGTCCTTTGTTGCCCTGGGGCAGGTTAGTGAAGCTTTCGCGGAGAACAAAAAAGTAAAAGTAGTTATTTTCAGGCCCAGTGCTCGAGGGCCGACACTGCAAGCGCCAGAAGCAGGAGGCGACAGTGGCCTTTCCCCCACATTGCTCCTCAGTGAGGGTACTGCCCGCTTGGTGGAGAGCAGAGTGTCGCCTCCACTGAGGGACACGCGTGCGGATGAGAGGCCTCTACAGATGCTCTGAGCGCCAATAGCCTTTAGAAAACAGGTGGGCGCGAAAAGGCGCAGAGAGACGCGCGGTGGCGCGGTGTGGCAGGAACGCCGTGGTGCTTGGCAAACGCCGAAGCTTTCTTTTCCCACCAAAATCTTGTTTTGAATCCACTCCTACCCCGGCGCTTGTAGCCGGTTGTTTCCTTCTCACCTCGTTGTTGTTGGTTCTCACAGATCAAGGGTCTATCTTGTTGGACAAAGATGGGAAGAGAAAACACACGAGACCTACGTTCTCTGGTCAGCAGATATTCGCCCTGGAGAAGACTTTTGAACAAACGAAATACTTGGCGGGCCCCGAGAGAGCTCGCCTGGCCTACTCGCTGGGGATGACGGAGAGTCAGGTCAAGGTGAGCACGCAGTGGATCCCAGCAGGGACCCGGCCCCCAGCCCACGCATGCCACCCGCGAGTGGGGGCCAGGGAGGATAGGAGCAGCCAGGAACACTCTGGGGTCATGCAGGAAGGCAAACTGATCCTGAACAAAAGAAATCAAGGTCCGGCCTTTGAAATTAGGTTAATCTAGATCACAAGGGGAACCCGGTCATCTTCGCGGAATGAACGCATTACTGAAATCGCCCAGAGACTAGATCAAGCTACTTAAATAGCTTTTCTTTCTATTTGTAAGCGCTTCAGACTTTTGTTTGCTAATTCACGCTCCACTAGTTTATAATTTCCTAACATAGATCAGCATTATGGTGCTTCTGTATTAACTTGCAGATTAAAAAAAAAATAGACCCACAGGATCTCACACTTAGCATAAGAGAACCTGCTCTCAATTTAGATAAGGCAATCACTTTTGAAGGGTAGTTTTCCAAAGGAATTGACGAAATTATTACTGTATTAGAAAATGAAATCCTATTTTTAAAAGTTTATAAACAGATTTAAGATATCTTATAACAGTAATCAAAGTGTCATTTTCTAATTGAGTTGTACAATGCATTTCCATAGCACCAAATTTTACAAATCTTCCTCTGAAAAAATAAAGGAATCGAGTTAGTTGAGTAACTCAACTTGGTTGTTTTCTATTTTCACTATTCTCTTTCCTCCTGTTTTCTTGAATTTGTTACTTGGGATTAATGTCTGTTTTCATTAGTTATATTGTTGCTCTTCAAATTAAATAGGAATAACATTAACCAGGTCTGCTGGTTAGAGTGTATTTCTTCCTGGACAAGCATCATAAAAAAACATTTCAGGAATGATTTTGAATGTAGCCATTAGAATACCATCACATTTAAAATTATTTTTGTAGTGGGCTGGTACAAAGCCTATCATGGGAATCTGGAGGTCTTAATTTGTCACCGTAAATATGTCTGCCTGGGTATACATGAATTATTATAGCTATATTTAAAAAATCAAGATTTCTTTCTTAACGATTCTGCTTCTCTAGATAAAATACATCGCAGGGTAGAAGAATTTAAAAAAAAAGAATAATTCGGTGTCTTTGTAAAACTGGTTGCTCATTGCTGATACTTTAAAATATGTGTAGCAGACACGTGCCCAACATTATGAATGGGCTTAAAAGCTTTTGCACATTAAGTGGACATCTTGAACAGAAGAAATAAATATTAAAATAACACTTGAAAGAATTGGCACAAAATAGAAAACAATGTAATTGGCAAAAATTTCACTTTTTAAAACTGATGGACAATTGTAGCTTTCATTTCACTTCTATGTTCTGAAAAAACTTTAGTGCTGAGGAGGAAAGAAAGAGGGAGACAGCAAAGGACTTTAATAATTTGAACAGCGCTGCTGCATATTTTTGTGTTTGTATTGGTTAATTTGAGTAATTTGAGGTTTGTATTTTAGCAAAAAACTACATGAATTCACTGGGGGAATTCACCTAGGTCATTTTGTACAGTCAGACTGCAAATCAGGGAAACAAGCCATGTCCAAAAATCAAAAGGAGAACAGAGTTAATTCTTCAGCTGTACCAGTGACACTGAAAAACTAGTACACTCTAGCTTGTTTGAAATTCCTTCATCCATGAGAGCAAACACGGAATAAAAGCACAGCTACTATGGGGAAATTTTGCGAATGGAAGGAAAGTTTTTTCATACCAGAAAGCAAGGAAGGGAACATTTCTTTTTTAGACTTCTGAGTTTTTCTTTTTTCCTCTTCTGGGAAGTCTCTCTGACAACCTCCTACTCTTGTGTTGCTGTCGCTATGGCAACGGCAGGCAGCCCCGCGGGGGCACCAGGTGCGGGAGTGGGGGGTGGACTGAGGTTCCAGGCCTGGCCCAGGGCGGCGGCCACCGAGGCGTTGCTCACCGAATCCCCCTGTCACCGCAGGTCTGGTTCCAGAACCGAAGGACCAAGTGGAGAAAGAAGCACGCAGCCGAGATGGCCACGGCCAAGAAGAAGCAGGACTCAGAGACCGAGCGGCTCAAGGGTGCCTCGGAGAACGAGGAGGAGGATGACGAGTACAACAAGCCCCTGGACCCCAACTCGGACGACGAGAAGATCACGCAGCTGCTAAAGAAGCACAAGCCGGGTGGCGGGATCCTGCTGCACGCGTCCGAGGCCGAGGGCGCGTCCTGAGTGCCGGACGTGCGGAGATGTACAGATCTATTTTTCTAACCCAGAAGTGTGGCGGGCGGTGGGAGCGAAGGAGACTGGGGTGGACAGGAGGCCGCCCAGGCCTCGGTGCACTGCTCCGAGGACGCAGCTGGGGTCCCCACGCGCGTCCCTGCGACGCCGGCTCCGCTCCCCTGCGTTGCCGGCCTGGGACAGCGGACCCATAGCGAGGGGACCTCGAGCCACGCGCCGCCCTACAGGACAGGGACGCTGTTCCAGCTCACTGCTGTGCGACTAAAGCGACCTGTTGAAGGCTCTGTAAATAAATCGTGAGTCACACTGACTAGAGGTTACTTTATTGTGAATATCTAAAATGTAAAATGTTTTTTTTTTTTAATTTGGTATAAAGAGATGGATCTCCTCCTTCCTTCCTTTCAAGCCCGCCTTTTGAAGGACTATCCACGCGAACACTTACTTCCTCTTTATTTGAAACTTAATTTGGGAGATTTGCAGGAGAGAATGCGCTCGCCCTCCGACCCCCTCCTGTCGCTGCTCTGGCCCTTTGGAGTTGCCGAGCCTCAGTTGTTTTTTTTTTTTTTTTTTTCCGACTCCTAGTTCTGCCCCCGGCGCCCCGCCCCAAGGACTCGAAGCAGAGAATGTGGGAACCGGGAGTCTCACACCCATCCCTCCGTCCCTTCTGAAATTGCACAGTCGTTTGTTGCTATTTATTAGGGATTTAAAGAAAGGATTGGGGAGGGAGGGGCCATAATAGCGTGTGTTTAATTTAACTCCTTTCTGATAAAAAATGCGTGTTAAGATAGATGGTGGGGAAACCGCTCCCGGTCAGAACATAAAATGCATTTAGTTGCTGTAATTGAATTTGAAGTGTTTTGTATCATAAGAATATTATAGAATATGTAAATTGTTTTCTTTTTTAAGCTAATAATGGTGATATATTAGCATCTTTAACCTTTATTAATTTATATAAGGAATTAGGTTTGTAAAGAGAAGAAAGCCCCTTTGCAAGAGCAGTTAAATGTAATGCACTTTCTGTTTCAAAGGATAAATCAAATTAAACAGTTTGAAGACGTCTGTTGCCTAGAATGGAAGGGGTACGGATCATCTGATCTCATCAGAGATCTCAAGTAATAAAAGAAAGACCATAAAAATGCTACATCAGTTTCTCGGGTGGAATAGCTGTTACTTTTTTATTTTCTTTTTCGAAAGAGTGGGATCGCGTCTCTCAATCTTCTGGATTGGGAAGGAGAAGAAACGCAGCCTCCTCCCAGCGCTCCTCTGAGCGACGCGACCGAGGGCTGCTGCTTCTGCTCTCTGCGTTGTCTAATTTTTTCCTGATCACTTTTTCCTTGCAAGGAAGTCCCTGGGGAGTTTGGCAAGTGCTCATTTCCATACGCGTTCGATGGCCCTGGAGCACGCTGGGAGCCGTCCAAGCAGCAGCGCTTGGAAGCCGACACTCCCCACCCTACCCTGCAGCCCCAAGGCTGAGGGAATTTGTGGGAAGATCGGCACCCTGCTGAACAATTCAAGGAAGAGGGGTGCAGCTAAAGAAGGTTGCTTTTTAGAGGGCCTGAAAGCCTTTATTGGTATAAGAAGGCAATATCATAGCTTCTTAGTCACACTGACGGAAAATATTTGAGAATCCCAGAGAGAGGGCTGAAGCGCTGCTGTCCGGGGCCTCTTTGTTTTTAGACTCTCAGTTACAGGCTGGGTGAAATATCGTTATCCTCTCAGTGTGGCGGGTTAATGAGCTTGTGTTCCAAGAGAGAAAAATCAATAGGATCAGTAGATTCCCCAGGCTAATGTTAGGTACGGAAGTGTTGTGAGTCTGTCTTGCTCCTCAGGAAAAAAAAAATTTTTTTGAGCTGAAAATTGAATGTTTCATTAATTCAACAAAATGAAATGGGCAGAGGGAAATTAAATACATTCCCAGTGAGCGACATGACTTAGCAGAAAGAAAGGGTGCACATCTGTCTTCTGTTTTCTGCGAAGTCCTCAACAAGTTTCTAACTTTTCCACACGTCTGTCTTGGCAACACAAAGGTATGTAGCCCACAAGAAAAGCCAAAGAGGACTTGGCCGCATGGCAATGTGGTTTCCATCCTACTGTGAACTGTGCCACCAGCCTCTCTCCCTCTTTCTCCCCATCTATCTCTCTCCTTTCCATCTTCCCCTTTCCTCCTTCCCTTTCTTCTCTCTTTTCTCTTCCCCTCTCTCTTCTCTTCTCCCTCCTTCCTTCCCTCTCTTCCTCTCTTCTTCCTTATTCTCTTTTTGTTGTGATGAGAGAACAAGGTAGGGGACAAGCCTATTGTCTTGCAACTCCACTTTATGACAACAAATCAAAACCTTTATATTTTATATTTTAAGCCTTTATGCATTCCTCTTCTGCCCTGAAAAGTCAAGCAACTTTATTCATTCTAAGAAAACAAACTCCCTATAATATGATTAGAAATTATTCCCACAATATACTACCAGTAGTAATAATTAGCAGCAGCAGCAGCAGCAGTAAGACACGAGTATTAGCCTAGAAACTGTGGAACAAAGATAGAGACCTTTTAAAGAAGGAACTGGGTTGACAGTTGCTAGTGTTTATTCTGAGCTGGAAGTGGAATGTTACCTCCCTAGAATTCTTTAGGAATCATTCCCAGTGAGCTCAACCTCCTCAAATCTGGGAACCAGAGTGGGCTGAAGTGGAGGCCTGGACCTTGCCCTGAGAAAAGGTGCCAGGGTGGCTGGGCTGCAGGCTTGCCTGTTTGCCTGCCTGGGGCTCTGTGCTTGGAGGAGGGGCATAAGCACTGCTCCTCCTTTTCTGGTTGACTGAAGGAGCAACTTGAGGTTTCCAGCTCATTTCCTTCCATCCAGAGCTCCAGCTGGTCACTAGGAGAGCTGGGAGTGGGGGACAAGTGGTTGGAAGACATCTCCCCCAGTTCTCTTTATCTTGGTTGGTTTGTTTTCCTTCTATTTCTGCATAGCAGGGACAGCTTTTCTTTTCTTTTTTTTTTGCCATAATTTTATTGATAAACAAATAGCAATGAGACAGTTTCAAATCAAATCGGTAGGACAGTTTCAATAGGGACAGCTTTTCTTTAGAGCTAGGTTGGTGGGGAAGCCCAGGGCATACTCTGAAGCTCTGGGCATCGGGGTAAAACTCATTTCTTATTTTGCTTTTATGTTGCATCAAACATCTTATGACATTAATAACCCTAAGCACCTGATTAAGGCTGCCAAGTGCCCATCACAGCTGAAGGGGTCACGTTTTAAAACCAGCAAAGTCACTACATGCAACTTGGCAGACCACTGCTTTTCAAAATGCTCACAGGCAATGAAGTATCAATAGTGGAAGACAAAAGGGGGAAAACAAGGTTTTGTATGTGAAAGTTGAAAGGAATGGTAGCTTTTATGTTTCTGTTCTGTGTGTTTCTTTCCCTGAAAAGGAAAAGTCTCCCAGGCTTGTGAAGGCCGCGAAGAGAAGGGGAGCCCTTCGAGAAGTTGTGGCATTTGCAGCTCCTCTGGGGTTCCCAAGTCCAAGCTCAGTTCTGGGCTCGATGACTGATGGTCCCCTTGGCTCATACCCAGCCAGGATTCTGTAACTCACACTGCAGCCAGACACCTGGTCATGGAGCATCTTTCCCAGCTGGTGATCACTTTACTTCACTTTGTCTTTTCCCCACTTGAGGTTGGTGGCAGAGGGACCACTGCTTGCTCACACTCTTGTCTCCCTCAGGCTTTCTGGGTGCATAGGCCTTCCTAGAAGTAGCTGTCTTGGAAATGTGGGCCAAAAAAACGCACAGTGAGGGTGTTCTCACAAGCTTTTGGAATGGAATATCATGCAGCCCAATGTGACATTAAACCAGCCTTCAGTTGGGGAGCTCCACACTGCACTGCCCTTTAAGCTGCTGATGGGAGCAAAACACACACACACACAGAAGCATGCACTTTCGAGGTGAAATTCCACTCGGGGACTCCTAGCACCGAGTAGCTTAGACAGACAGTGTCTCCTTTGTTACTCACAAACAATAGGATTGTGTAGTAACAGGGGAGGTAAGCAATAGATTCCATCTATAAACTCTATTTGAGGCTAATTTGAGCAGTGTAGCTCGCACTAAATATCTTTCCTCTTACTGTGCAAGCAGATACGTGCAAATGTGCTTCTCTTTCTCCTCCTCCTCCTCCTCCTCCTCCTCCTC